GATGAATGATTTTATACATGTTTTAAATGATTTAAGCTATATATTTATTTTATATCTACAAATATATTGGGATAAAACATGGGTAGATGAAATAGTTGATGTGTGATGAAATAAAATGATGAGAGATAGGTGGTGATAATTAGGTGATGATAGATAGGTGATGATGAATCGGTGATGTAGGATGAAAGATACTATAACCTTGTCCGGAGATTTGGAGATGTAGTCATCTACCAGAGTATAGATGGCGACCACAAACTATGATAGACAACCTCGTGGAAACACCAGCAGGTTCATAACCTGTAGGTGATGAATTACGAGTTCATGTGATGTTGTAACTACGTATTCATGCGATGATACTTTGTCCCCTTACTATGAATTACAAGTTCATGCGATGTTGTAACTACGTATTCATGCGATAATACCCTAACCCTTGTTGGGCACATATTGAGGGAGTAATCCCTAAATCAATACTGCCTATGCGATGTAGGCGATGATCCTTAGGGAGAGTCCTTAGGAACAAACATATAAGGAAATGCGATGTAAGGAGATGAGAGGTAAATATGATGTAGGAGAAGACCCCTAGGATAAATCCTTAGGGAAGGTACTTAGGAATAAAGAAGATAATGGGGATGGGTAATTGGGTTAATTGTTTGATGATTAAACATAATAATTATATTATTGTGGGTTGAAAACCCTATGTACTCACCAGGTTTCCCAACCTGACCCACTCAATTTACTTGTATCACAGGTGACGATGTGAAGTTACATTACACTGAGAGATTAAGGAGATATAGACCACTATTGTAAATGAATGTAAGTTTTGTTTATGCTTATGTTTCTGTCTTGACGATGGCATCCCAAATGTTTTAAAAGGAATAAAAATACATTTCTTTGAAAATGCTCTGATAATGAAATTATCATGTTTTTCTGGGAACAAATTCCACAATGTTTTTATTGAAAGAGATACTCTGATTTTTATAAAGCATAAACAAAATCGGTCTTTTCTGGCCGTGAAAATGGGGATGTCACAACAAAGACAACTAGCATCTTACACAATATAATGAGAAGACTCACCTCAACCCTGAAGACAAGATAAGCCACCCACTCGAGCCAACAATATCAAATCTCCTATTGCTAAATATATAGACAATAAAACCCTAATAAATAATTAAGGCAATAACTAACTCAAGAAAGGCCTAGGCTTATAATTAAACCTCCTTTAAGCAAAATACCATTTTGAATTTCCAATATTAAGTCCCAACATGGTTGACCAAAAGTCAAACCGGTCAAAAAGTCAATGGTCAACCCTCAGTTAACTTACGCTTAACGTAACACACCAATCTACACCCAATGTAGAGCTACGCTTAGCATACAGAAGTTTATACCCAACGTAGAGCTACACTTAGAGTATAAAAGGCTACGCCTAACTTAGAGCCCTTGTTTCCCAAAAACTTCTATTAAGCTCTTAATACAACACAACAAACTCTCAAACTCCTAGATCTGATCTAAATGATTGTCTTAATGGATAAAGTCTTTGGCTTTATCTCTTAGCAAGACCAAGAGGAGCACAAAATCAAACTCTAAGTCCATATTGTTATTTTTTGCTTAAGACCTCATGCATGGATGGATAAGAGTTCTCAAACGCTTATTTTTATGACTATATAACCACAAAAACATCATAAGGAGGCACTCAAATGGTTTCGCTTGCAAATCCCAAATCTACACACCTTAAAGCTTCCCACTTGGTTCTACAAATACCTTCTTCCTTTAAAGAGAACACAAGAATCTCTAAAAGATCCAAAACTCACTAATGGTGGCCAGAGTTTCAAAGGTACGATATGAGGTGATGGAGGTTGGTCATAAGAATGACCCCAAGAAGTTAGAACCCTTAAATACGGCTCAAAACCTTAGGGTTAGGGTTTTGGTATGTAGAGGCTACGCCTAGTGCAGCATAACCTACACCCAACATAGGTCATTAAACTCGCGTCCAAAATTCAACACCTACACCCAGTGTAGGGACTTTCCTACGCCCAACGTAGGGCAAAATTCTTAATTTCTAGTTCAACTTCAAACAACCATAACTTATTCGTTTCAACTATGTTTTTAGCGTTTTTTGTATACACGGAAATGTATTGGCGAGCCCCATAATTCTATTTAATTACCTTTAGCTTGACACATGTCGAGCTAAAACCATAATCCATGCGAGAAGCCCAACATATAGCTTTTCCCATTTTACCATTTGGTTCCAACACACAAAACAATGACTTAGATCTCATAACCAATATTATCAACATTCAATAAGGTCTAAATTTTATTTCTTGAAGCGCAAAACCTTTATATGATCAAATTACGGTCCAATTCCTGAATTAAAAAACATCCAAAAATTGGGTGTTATACATGGCTAACTCTTAATTTTTTTTTTTTTTCATTTGGCTCTGTCTTAATACTAACTTCATAACTAGCCTCCAGCCTTCAAGACTATCCTTACACACTTAATTTCCATTATAGATTTGTTGGGAGGCTTAGTATTCACCTATTTGATAACAAAAGTTGGGTCAAAATATCTTATAAGAGTCAAGTTAAATCCCTTATCTAACTCTTATATCCAAATATGAAGTTTTATTTATTCTTAGATTCTGAAAAGAACATAGGCAATAATTGAATTTGGTTTGAGCACATTTTCAGTTTGGTATAGAAGAAACGCACAAACGATAATTTTTATTATAATCTTAATGTATTTTTTCTGTCTAGTCGATGATATTATTTAGTGTAATCTTATTATATTATTTATGTTTGATTAAGGATATTATTAAACTAATTTCAATATAAAGATTAAAGCTTCTACTGGATGTTACACTTAAAATATAACACCTGTGATGATTTTGAAAATTTGACATTTAGGTGTTATGATAATATGACTTTTACAAGTCAACCATATGATATTTAAAGGGTGTTTTGGTGGTTATTATTGAATTGATTTTGTGCTTATTACGATTTATTAAATTCTAAAGTTATGATAATTCATTTTTAATATTAGTTAATAAATGAAATGCTTCTAAATGTCGTATTATTAACGAGTTACGTAATCAATTTTACACACCTATTGCAATGGAACTAGTCATCAAAAATAAAATAAAATAATTTATTTATCCCTTTTTTGACCCAATTTGAGTCTTTCACTCTCATTTCACACAAAAGGCCCTTTCCTTTTCTTTTTCTTCTCAAATGTAGTTGTCATGTAATATATTATATTCTTACCAGAAAAACAAAAAAAAAAAACTTAACGCTAATCGACGTTTATCTTACTAATACAAATTCAAACAATATAAATAGATCCAGACATTATCATTGACAACTCATTTTATTAAAAAGCGTTATTTAATATAAAATTTATAAAAATGACTAGTTTATAAGTTTTTATGCCAAGAAATAACTAGAGAGTAGAAAACAAGGTTTTTTGCAAAGGCCTTCTATGTATTAGGCATGTACTCTGCCAACTCAATTTTGAATCAAGTTTTAGTTGCATTATGGTATATAACAAAAAATATTTTTTTAAGTAGATTAAGCAAGCTCTCTTTCAAGCATTTCAAAATTATGCTTATTTTTGTAGATAATTAACATTTAAGAATTTTAGTTTTTTAGATTTTTTTAGAAAGATAAAAGTTTTAGCCAAAAATAAATTGGGATAAAGAAAAACAATAAACCAAGGAATATTATATGTGGCTTCACAAAAGGCATTCTTACAGAAGATCGTATAGTCTTTGTTTAAAGACATTTGTTTATTTTATTATTTTACCCAAAGGTTATAAAGTGATCATTTTAAAAATTTTCTCTATTTAATATTATATTTTTTTAATTAACACAAAACCTTGTTAATTTACGAATATAAAGGACTAAAGTGACATGTTATTAAACCATAGGGGCATTAATATAATATCTGTCAGCCACCATTTCTGGAAGAAGGGAATCGCGGTCGCCAGTGTCCGTATACTTTGAGTCGGTTCAAATGGAACCATCTTTTTTCAACGCAATGAAACAATCCATCGATCTCCATTTCTAGATTCAAGGAGAAAACATCGCCTCTTCGTCTTCCACAAAATTAGGGTTTGTTACTCTTTCATCCTTTCGATTCTATTTTATATTAGTTTACATTTGTTGTTTCCCGATTTCATCCTTTTTCCTTTACCGATTTCTATTGCGTGAATCTGAAGTCGAAAACAAGTTTGTAAGCTATAATTTTTGGTACTTGTAATGACTTCACTTATAGATCTAGTTCCTGATGTGAGAAGTTAGCGTTCTTTTTGCTTGAATCCGTCTAAGGTGCTTCCGCGAAATTTATTTTGCTCAATACTATAGCGTGTACGGGTCTGTTGTTGTTGAAATCTTATGGATGCTCTAAAAAAGTAACATGCGCATAGTTGTTTGTTGTTAGTTCGTGGATTTAATTTAGGTTGGATTCTTTTAGCTCTATTTTTCATAGTACATAGAAATGTAAAACGTTACATCGAGAACATATATTTCTGTATATAAAGTCATCGTCAGTGATCATGAAAAGGTTTTCTTGTCCCAAAGTAATTAGCTGCATCTATACCAAACACAAACAAAGAAGACATTTCTATTGAGTATTGAACACGGCTACTAATTAAGTTTTGCATCACTAAACCCTAATGTCATAATTCTAGGATACAACTCATGTATTACGAAAATACTCTTCAATCTTCCACTGCAACAGTTATTCACTAATATGTTTTTGAATTGGACTGTATTCCATTCTCCAGTTGAATTGTATGCTTCATAATCTGATTTGTACAATTCATATCACAAATTCTTTTTGACAACTATGGCTAAAGCTTATGAGTTTGATAACTTTCATTTTGAAGTTTGAACTGTTTATTGGTTCATTGGGTGTTTGAGATTTTGTCATGGGAGATTAACTTTAAATTTTGTTATGCAGCATTTGAGATAAACTAAGAGATAGGCAAACTCAAAAGTTGAAAAAGATGACGTGGTTTAGGGCTGGATCCGGTGTGGCAAAGCTTGCAATCAAAAGAACCTTATCACAAACTGGAACATATGCAGCAAGGAAGCATCTTCTTCCTTCACAAACTCGACATTTTCACACAACACTTTTCAAATCAAAAGCACAATCTGCACCTGTCCCAAGACCTGTCCCCCTTTCTCGCCTAACAGACAGTTTCTTAGATGGAACTAGCAGTGTCTACCTTGAAGAGCTTCAAAGAACATGGGAAAACGACCCACAAAGTGTCGATGAATCATGGGACAATTTCTTCAGAAACTTCGTAGGCCAAGCTTCCACATCCCCTGGAATATCTGGCCAAACAATCCAAGAAAGCATGCGTTTGTTGCTTCTTGTTAGAGCTTACCAAGTATATGGCCACATGAAAGCCAAAATCGATCCATTGGGTCTTGAAAAACGCGAAATCCCAGACGATTTAGACCCTGCTTTCTATGGTTTCAGTGAAGCCGATTTAGATCGTGAGTTTTTCCTCGGTGTATGGAGAATGTCTGGTTTCTTATCCGAAAATCGCCCTGTTCAAACCCTTAGATCAATCTTAACAAGACTCGAACAAGCTTATTCTGGAAACATTGGTTATGAATACATGCATATTGCAGATCGTGAAAGATGCAACTGGTTAAGAGACAGAATCGAAACCCCAACTCCCACTCAATACAACAGTGAAAGACGTGAAGTCATTCTTGATAGACTCATTTGGAGCACACAATTCGAAAACTTTTTAGCCACAAAATGGACAGCTGCCAAAAGATTCGGACTTGAAGGAGGTGAGACTTTAATCCCAGGTATGAAAGAAATGTTTGACAGGTCAGCAGATCTTGGTGTTGAAAGCATTGTAATCGGAATGTCCCACAGAGGAAGATTAAATGTGTTAGGAAACGTTGTTAGAAAGCCTTTACGCCAAATCTTCAGTGAATTTAGTGGAGGAACAAAACCTGTTGATGAAGTTGGGCTCTACACTGGAACAGGTGATGTGAAATATCACTTGGGTACTTCATATGATCGCCCAACAAGAGGTGGAAAGAGGATTCATTTGTCTTTAGTTGCAAACCCTAGTCATTTAGAAGCTGTTGACCCTGTTGTGGTTGGAAAAACAAGAGCAAAACAGTATTACTCAAATGATGCTGATAGAACAAAGAACATGGGAATCTTGATTCATGGAGATGGAAGTTTTGCTGGACAAGGTGTGGTGTATGAGACTTTACATTTAAGTGGTCTTCCAAATTACACGACAGGTGGAACAATTCATATTGTAGTCAACAATCAGGTTGCTTTCACTACTGATCCACAAGCTGGAAGGTCATCACAGTATTGTACAGATGTTGCTAAAGCTTTGAATGCTCCTATCTTTCATGTCAATGGTGATGATGTGGAAGCGGTTGTTCATGCTTGTGAGCTTGCAGCAGAATGGCGTCAGACATTCCATTCCGATGTTGTTGTTGACATTGTTTGTTATCGGAGGTTTGGGCATAATGAGATTGATGAACCTTCTTTTACACAACCTAAGATGTACAAGATTATTAGGAATCATCCTTCTTCACTAGAAATCTACCAGAAGAAGCTTCTAGAAACTGGGCAAGCTACAAAAGAAGATATTGATAGAATACAAAGCAAGGTTACCTCGATTCTTAATGAGGAATTTCTTGCCAGCAAGGATTATGTCCCTCAAAGAAGAGATTGGCTTTCAGCTTATTGGCTTGGATTTAAATCCCCTGAACAACTTTCACGTATTCGTAACACTGGGTATGCATTATGTTAATCTTTTTTTCATTTTAAAGTTTAAACATTGTTTTACACAGATAGTTTTGGGTTTTGATTTGTAGGGTGAAACCTGAGATTTTGAAGAATGTTGGAAAGGCGATTACGACCCTTCCGGAAACTTTTAAGCCTCATAGAGCTGTTAAGAAGATATTTGCAGACCGATTTAAGATGATTGAAAGTGGAGAGGGTGTTGATTGGGCAGTTGCAGAAGCTCTTGCTTTTGCAACATTACTTGTGGAAGGAAATCATGTGAGATTGAGTGGTCAAGATGTTGAAAGAGGTACTTTTAGTCACAGACATTCTGTTATCCATGATCAAGAAACAGGGGATAGATACTGTCCGTTGGATCATGTCATGATGAATCAAAACGAGGAAATGTTTACTGTTAGCAACAGGTGATGATTTTTTACAATTCTCAAAAGTTTTTTTTTTTGAAATGATTTTAGTTTGTTAACCATTAATTATTTCTTGAATACAGTTCTCTTTCGGAGTTTGCTGTTTTGGGATTCGAATTGGGATATTCAATGGAAAACCCTAATTCATTGGTGTTATGGGAAGCTCAATTTGGGGATTTTTCAAATGGAGCTCAGGTGATATTTGATCAGTTTTTGAGCAGTGGGGAGGCTAAGTGGCTGAGACAGACTGGGTTAGTTGTGTTGCTACCTCATGGGTATGATGGTCAAGGCCCTGAACACTCAAGTGCAAGACTTGAGCGTTTTCTTCAGGTATATTCCTCTTTCCACTTATATTATAGGAAGGAATGGAATCGAATTCCAATTCCTATATTCTCCCTTTATTAATTCAATCTTATTACAGATGAGCGATGATAATCCTTTTGTTGTACCTGAAATGGAACCAACACTCCGCAATCAAATCCAAACATGCAACTGGCAAGTTGTCAATGTCACAACTCCCGCAAACTACTTCCATGTGTTACGTCGACAGGTGATAACTTCATCCACATAATAACCAAATTTATTAAAAAAAAAAAATTCATAATTTTTTTTAAAAAAAATTTTTGTTTTCATGTTTCAGCTGCATAGGGAGTTCCGCAAGCCGCTTATTGTAATGTCCCCAAAGAATCTACTTCGTCACAAAGAATGCAAATCAAATCTATCAGAGTTTGATGATGTCCAAGGTCACCCAGGTTTTGACAAACAAGGAACAAGATTCAAGCGTCTGATAAAAGACCAAAATGCCCACTCGGATCTTGAAGAGGGCATTAGACGTTTGGTTCTTTGCTCTGGAAAGGTTTATTATGAACTTGATGAAAAGAGGAAGTCAGTTGATGCCAAAGACATTGCAATTTGCAGAGTTGAACAGCTTTGCCCCTTCCCATATGACCTCATCCAGCGTGAACTCAACCGCTATCCAAGTAACTTCAAACCCTAATTCATAATCTTTTTTTTTTTTTAAATAAATGTCTTAATAAAAAAAAACTGATGGAATTAATAAACTTTGGATATTTCAGATGCAGAAATTGTGTGGTGTCAAGAGGAGCCAATGAACATGGGAGCCTACAGTTACATTGCCCCCCGCCTTGCTACCGCCATGAAAACACTCAACAGAGGCACCATTGACGATGTCAAATACGTCGGCCGCGCTCCCTCTGCCGCCACCGCCACTGGTTTCTACACCGTTCACGGAAGAGAACAGTCGGAACTCGTCCAAAACGCCCTCCAATCTGAACCCATCACCACCAACCCCACCCTATGCTAAAACCCTAATTCCCGGTATAATTCTCATTTCTTACAGATAGGTTGTACTGTTGGTTATTGGGACACGTGTGACAGGAACTTTTTTAGTCTAGTTATGATTACTATTTGAATTAACTTTAATGAGTTATTTATTTTTTTTGCAGGGTTTTTGTCTTTTTGTGGAGTGACGTGCGGGGGTGTTTTCTTTTTTTGATTTTATTTGTGCATCGGGGGAAAATGTTATGTAATAATTACAACAAGGTGAGATTTTTATACGTCTCCTGCCATGTGTTCATGGCGTAATCAGTTTTTTTTAAAATTTTTTTTTAATATGTGTTGGTGAATCTTGATGATGATATCTGAAAATGATTTATTTTTGAAAGTGTTATGGTTTTGGTAGCTTCGAAGTTTTAATTATTTATAGATCGAAAGGACACCAACCTTTGTGTTTCTCAAAAGTCATGTGGTATAGAAGTCATACCTGTCGTGTGACATACGTGATGACCAAGTACTTCTCCCTTACAAACCTAGCTACTCAACCTCCATGTGCCAATTTAATAGAATAATAATAATAAGATTTATTTTAGGCAAGACAAAATTTTAAGAATGGTTCTTATGGTTTATTTATTTATTTTTTTTTCCCAAAACAGTCCCTATAAAATCCTCTTATTATTATTATTTTTTTTTTGCTGAGTAAATGGTTTTTTTGGAGCAACCCTTGCATACCATCGGTCTTTTTGACTAATACCATTATTTTTCTGTTAAATATAAATGAAAAGATTATCATACCTTTTTAATTAGATTTTTACATTTTTTTTTATTATTTTAATGTTTTAAAAATAGAAAACAAATATCAATTCTTGTCTCCGGATTACCTCCCCCTTCACAAACAAGAACAACCATGAGCTATATATAATCTGGATTTGCAACACCATCGAGTGGTTGTCTCTGAAAAATTGGAAGAATGCATTTATGGGGAACTTGAGTCCCTGTAATGGATCCGGGGATCTGAAAATGATGGTACCTGGTCAATGTAAATAGGTAAGACCAACATATAAGCAACTACATATACACTAATACACACACTAATGAACCTAGAAATCGCCTTTGAAGTACCTGGTCAATGTAAGCCTAGTAAAATTCGGTGCTACTTTGTTGGAACTCTAATAGTATCCGGCCACTGATATGGTATGAAGTGTTGTCCATCTAGTTCATCTAACGGATTTATGCCCTAGATAGATTTATAGTATGCATGTTTGTGTGTGTCATATCTTGATTATCTTCATCTAGTTCATGTCATGATTTATCTTACTATTCATGTCATAGTGTTTTCGATCTGGTTTATGAGTCTGTGTGTTTGTTGAATCAAGGAGAGAGAGAGAGAGAGAGAGAGAGAGAGAGAGAGAGATGTAAGTATGTATGTATGTGTGTGTGTTCTCGATCTGGTTTATCGTGCGTGTGGTCAACTACATGGTTAGAATTCGTTCAATCGATTACTAACCCTCCCCTTTTGATTATGATCCTCATACCGAAGGAAAAAAAAGATGAACACCATCCGATTTCAGACACAAACTCATCTTTGTTTATATGTGTGCCTGTGCGTTTATCAAGTCGATTGTGAGAGATTGAAGAAGACGACAAGTTCTAGGTGTTTTTACGTAAGTGGTGGGCCCATTTCCTTTTTAAATAACAAATAAATAATTTTTTTAAAAAAAAAAATTGAGGCCAAAAAGTGAGACAAATTTAAAACTAAAATTACCATTGGTGTGCAAGATTTGCTTTAAAAGTATTATTCACCTCAACAAGATATTTTATAAGGATTATTTTAAAGAAAAACTGAAAGCCTTAGGATCATCATTTGTGAAATTTTGCCCTTACTCATTTATAGAGTAGAGTACATTATATTTTTTGCCCTTTAGTGTGTATATATATATATATATATATATATATATATATATATATATATATATATATATATATATATATATATATATATATATATATATATATATATATATATATATATATATATATATATATATATTGCAATTTTTGTCTTAATTTTTTTTTTTGCCTTTTCAATTTTAGTCATTGCTCAAGTAAAATGAATATTTTTTAGTTCTTCAGTTTTAGTCCCAAATATAGCTATCTTACTTGGGTTCGAATAGAAATACAAAACTTTACAAAAACTCAAATAGGGACCAAAACTGCTATTAAATATTCTGGGAATATATTTAAAAAAAAATGAGCAATACGGAGGGATAATAAATGTAACTTAATTCAAAATATGTTAATTTTTTTTCCTGTTTTAGTAATCCTTACAAAAATTTCCTCTTTTAGAGACAGATGTAGTCCATGCAAGATCCAATTTGATCGGATATAAAGTCGTGTAAGAACATGTGGTTTCGGAACAATTCGTACTGTACATTCATTAATCTGACATTACAATAAGACTTAAAAATGGACACTTGGCACAACTAAAAACAATATTTTTTTATTTTGTTTTTGAACCATGTAATGTAAAGTAAAGAAAAGGGACATCATGATTCATGGGCATGGATATGTGTCATTTGTTGGGTGTATGAATTGATTGTAGATGTGTTGTCGATTAGGTTTTGGCCTTTTAGGTAAATTACAATTTACCAATATCAACATCACAACATAACCTAACATTTAGGATGCGTAATCTTTAATGAAAATATCATATTATATCACAAATTCTTAGAAAAAAAATCAAAAGTAAAGGAGTGTTTTAGATTGTTTTTATTTAACATGAGTGTAGTTTGGTACTCTTAATAGATAGTGTGTAAAATAGAGTAAAAAATGTTTATTATTTAAATAATTATATTTTGTTGAGCTGTTTTATTCAAACTTATTTGATAGGGTTTATAACTTATTTAAAAATGGTCATTATGCGTAGAAACCAGCTTGACCTTATAGTATTATTTTAACCCTTAAAAACATATTGGTTTAGTCATGGTTAAAAATCAATATCTAGCTTCAAGTTTTACAAGTCAACGTGTTTAAGGTGATAATTTTTTTATACATAAAAAAGGAAATAACATCATTTTTAGATGTATATCAAATATAATAAGTTTTTAAAATAGTTGTATTGAAATCTATACTAAAAAAACTAAATGGTTTCATGTAAAAAACGTGCTTAAAAAAAAAAAAAAACTCATTAGCACCTCTTGTTTTACCTTGACACGCGCTGCCTTATAATTGTAACCTTGTTTTTTTAATTGCTGAGCACACACCAATATATTATTTTATTTGGTCTTTTTGGGTAATTCATATTTATAATCAAAATTTAGTAAACATTAAAAAAAATAATTTATCGATTTATTTTTTTTGGTAGCGCATAAGCTAATGCCTAATTAAAACATTTTTTTTTTCTAAATCTGTAATGTATAAGTTAAACTATGTTTAGCATAACTGTTAGCTGGAAAACTAGTTTTTAAATGAAAAACTAGCTGATAAAAAATAACGTTTGGTAAAACTAGCTGAAATATATAAAATTACATAAAATGACATGTAAAAGTATGTGTTTCTATAATTAATTAAGGGGTGTATTTGAATTTTTTTTTAAAAAGCTCCTAAAAAGCTAATCTAAGTAGCTTTTCAAAAAGCTAGCTTATCAGCTACTTTTTGGTTTAGAACATAAAAAAGCTCGAAAAATAAGTTAGCTGTGGCGCGCCAAACACAGTCTTAATCAACATGATGTTAAAAATATTCGTTATAAATAAACAATATCAAACACCCTCCTCTAAGTAAAAGCTAGCAGATAAGCCAGAATTTTAGGAATCTCTAATGTTTGAATTAAAGAATCAAATAATCAAATAATAGGTCTTATTTGATCTTGTCAGCTGTTGTGAATCACGAGTGTTTTAGAGTGTATCAAAGATTATTTAAGAAAAAAACAAAGGTGTGACGTATAATAGGAATAAGAAAAGAGAAAGAATTATCGAAGATTCTAGTGAATATGATTTAAAGATTTTCTTTTTTGTATTATATTGACCAACTTTCGTGTTGTCATGACAATAAAATATGTATTGTTGGAAAGACGTAAGAAATTATCATCTGATTATAAAAATACCAAGAGACGACTTCAAAGTATTGATGATGAAAATACTTTGCATTATTTATAAAGAAATGCCACTTGCTTTACTTCTCCAATTTGCTAAACTTAGAAAGAACAACTTTTTTGTGATATATGAAACATTATTGGTGGCTTTTGTCGTGTAAATTGCTACCACTTCAGCAATTTACAATAAAAAAACGGGTTTTATTTTGACTATTTTTTTAAAAAGAACAAAGCTTATTAATTCAACTGTAAAATATATATTAATGGAAAAATGGTGGCTGGAAAATAATAAAGATATAAATTAGAAATTTATAACATGTTAAAGGGAAAAATTAATGTTAGTTCTTGACCATAAAATCCTCATTATCCTCGTTTAGACATTTACGGATTCCCCTTTGTTAAAAATAACGGCTAAAGTAATAGCAGTTATCGGATCTGTAAGAGAAATTAAATATTCTTTTATTTTTTTTTTCTATAAATTCTTCTACTAAATTGAATGATGATATGTGTTATATTAATATATTCTAAAATTTCATTAAAAGACTATTAAATATTACACATACTAATATTTAATTGGATAACAAGATTTGTAGGAACAAAAAGTAAACATATATTTATTTTCTCGATCTATAAACAATGTAAGCATAATGAAATTTATTGTTGAAGACCTTAAAGGCTTAAACGGACGTCACTTGAGTATATTATAGTTATTGAAAAAAAAATTCTATATATAAAATAATTTGAGAAATGTGGTCACCGACGCCCTGAGCCGCAAGGCGGTAGCGGCCTCGATTCGAGACATCCGTCTGAGGATGATTGTGATTACTCAATTGTTGGAGCAGATCAGAGAGACGCAGGTTGAAGGCCTGAAGGAGGAGCATCGGAAGTGCGAGCGGATCATAGGCCAGATGGCCTCCTTTGATTACGACAACCATGGGTTGCTGACCCTGTATGGGAGGGTTCCGTATTGGGGTGGAGTGTGACAGATTCTGATGGATAAGGCCCACAAGTCTACATTTTCCATTTATCCCGAGGCGACGAAGATGTACAGAGATCTTCATCCTGATTACTGGTGGCCCTGCATGAAGCAAGATGTAACATGGTATGTTGAGCGATGCTTTACCTGCAGGAAGGTCAAGGTAGAGCACCAGAGGCCTCACGGAAAGATGTAGCCGTTAGATATCCCTGTGTGGAAGTGGGAGGACATTACTATGGATTTCATTACGAAGTTTCCTAGGACCGCACGTGGGGTAGATTTAATATGGGTCATCGTGGATCGGTTGACCAAGAGCGCTCAT